CCTCCAATAACATAGCTACTGGAATTGTCACCAAAATAGTTTTATCATACAAATATATAATTCACACTTATAACACACTTTACAACTCTACAAAGATATTGTTAGAGAACCTGAAAATTTCAGACCTGTTTTCTTGGCTAATGCCATATAAATGAGGAACTTGGTTATGGCAGGCTCACAAAGAATCCTTATTCTTCTACTTGTTTTCCTCCTTTGTACTCATAATAAAATGTTTTTTATGTTGTTTAGGGCAGTTTACACCCTACTCTCTGTAACTCTCTTCTACTATTCAGGCCACTAAAATATCCCAAATAATCAAGCTTCAAACAGATGTCAAGATATCAAGGAATCAATTGTAATATATTTTTTTTGTAGAAATGCTGTCTTGACTCAATTTTGAGGCCCTGGCTAGAGGCCAGTTTCCCTTCTTAAGCAGCTGATGAAATCCGCAATCCAACCACTTCCCTGATCAGGTGTTCACACTCTGGGATGCTATGCACCAACCCTAACCACCCAGGGGCCAGTGACCAGACAACTAGGGACAATCTCTATATCCTGGAGTCTGAGAAAATTATTAAAATGAGCCAATCCACAGGGATCTTGCAAAATCTAGCCAACCCTACCTTGTAATATATAAGCTGCCCTTTAGAGATCTAACTTGCTGTTATTCAGGTGCCCCTGTGTGGCTCTGTATGGCAGCCTTCTCTCTTTTGAAGATATAAGTAACAAAGAGTTCTGTCTTTTATCTGAATGGCACTGTGTGACATCTTGCCATCAAAAGAATCTTTAGATCTTATAAAACCATATACAAAAATTAACTCACACCACATACAAATTAACTCAAAATTAATAAAAGAACTAAATAAATGAGATAAAACTTTAAAAACTCTTATAATAAACAAGGAGTAAATCTTCGTGTCCTTGGATTTGGCAATGGATTCTTAGATATGGCATCAAAAGCATGAAAAGCAAAAGAAAAATCAGTAAACTGAACTTCATAAAAATTAAACAGTTTTGCAAATCAAAGGACACTATCAACAAAGTGAAAAGACAATCCACAAAATGGGAGAAAATATTTGCAAATCATATATCTGACAAAGGTCATGTATCCAGAATATATGAAGAACTCTTATAATTCAGCAGCAAAAAGACAACCCAATTTAAAAATGGGCAAAGGACTTGAAGAAATATTTCTCCAAAGAAGATATATAAATATCCAATAAGCCCATAAAAAGATGTTCAATATCATTCATCATTAGGAAAATGCAAACCAAAACCACTTATCACCCACTAGGATTACAAAAATTAAAAAATGGATGTTAAGACTTGTTTTCAAGAATGTGGAAAAACTGGAACCCTCACAAATTGCTTGCAGAAATGCAAAATGTTACAGCCACTGTGGAACAGAGTTTGACAATTCCTCTGAAAGTTAAACATAGAATTACCATATGACTCAGCAATTTCACTCCTAGATATATACCCAAGAGAAATAAAAACACATATCCACACAAAAACGTATACACAAATATTTAAGGCAGCACTATTCACAATGGTCAAAAGGTAGAAACAACCTAAATATCCATCCATGTTTGAATGGATAGATAAAATATGATATAGATAGACAAAGAAATATTATCCAGTCATAAAAAGGAATGAAATATTGTACATGTTACAATGTATATGAACCTTGAATACATTATGCTAAGTGAAAGAAGCCAGACCTGTATGATTCCATTTATATTAAATATCTAAGGTAGGTAATTACTACAAGTTAATACCAAAAAACCCCAAAACAATCTAATTAGAAAGTGGGCAGAGAACCTGAATAGATATTTCTCCGAAGAGGACAAACAGATGACCAATAGACATATGAAAAGATGCTCAATGTCACTAATCAGAGAAATGCGAATTAAAACCACAATGAGTTATTATCTCACACCTGTCAGAAAGGCCATCATCAATAAATCAACAAACAACAAGTGTTGGTGAGGATGTAGAGAAAAGGGAACCCTCGTGCACTGTTGGTAGGGTTACAAATTGGTGCAGCCACTGTGGAAAACGATGTGGAGGTTCCTCAAAAAATTAAAAAGAGAACTACCTTATGACTCAGCAATTCCACTCCTGAGCATTTATCCAAAGAAATTCAAAACGCAAATTAGAAAAGATACATGCACCCCTATGTTCATTGAAGCATTATTTACAATAACCAAGATGTGGAAGCAACTTAAGTGTCCATCAATAAACAATTGGATAAAGAAGTGGTACAGATATAAAATGGAATATTACTCAGCCATAAAAAATAATGAACTCTATTTGTGACAACATGGATGGAACTGCAGAGTATTATACTAAATGAAATAAGTCAGACAGAGAAAGACAAATACCATATGATCTCACTTATACATGGAATCTAAAACAAAATAAATAAACAAACAAAACAGAAACAGACTCATAGATGCAGAGAACAAACTGATATATGCCAGATGGGAGGGGATTGGGGGACTGAGTAAAAAAGGTAAAAGTATTATGAAGTATAAATTGGCAGTTACAAAATAGTCATGGTGATATAAAGTATAGCATAGGGAATATAGTCAATAATATTGTAATAACTATGGTTCCAGGAGGGTACTAGATCTATGGGGGGGGGGTCACTTTGTAAGTTATATAAATGTCTAACCACTATGCTGTACACCTGAAATGAACATAATATTGAATGTCAACTGTAGTTGAAAAATAAAAACAACAAAACCCAAGTATGTTAAAAAGAAATAATAATAATAATCACATGTAAAAAAATAGGTAATTCCATAGAGGAAGAAAGCAGATTAGTCATTGCTATGGACTGGGGGAAGGGGAGAATTGGTAGTGAATGCTTAATGGGTATGGGGTCTACTTTGGAGGTGATGAAAATGTTTTGGAACAATATGGAGGTGATGGTTTCATAACATTGTGAATGTACTATGTCACTGAGTTGTACACTTTAAAATGAATAATTTTTATGTTATGTTAATTTCTTCTAAAATAAAGATAGTCCTATTTGAAAAAAGATGTACATAAAATTATATACTCTAGGCCAGTTGTCCTTCATTTCTTTTTTTTTTATATTACATACCCCTTTGAGCATTTAGTGAAAGGAATGGATCCTATCCTAGGAAAATGTATACACCCAGTAAAAATGTACATATTCTATCCCTTCTCCACCACACACACACACACACACACACACACACACACACACACAAATTTGAACATAATTCCAGGGGATTCATAGGTTATTCTATTTAAGAATGCCTGAAACCCAGGAGTAAGTGCTTTTGCTTTAACATGGCTCAGTTGTCATTTGTGCCTTCCCCTTCCTGTCTTATTCCCAAGTAGCATCTTCTCCTCCTCTCTGTCCTTTTCCTACTGTGTAGCTTCTGCTTCTACATGATGTCAATCTGTTCATATATCAGGGTTTCTCAGGTTCCTAGAGTACAGATATTTCCATAAGTGTACGTACTCTACTACCTCTTCAATATATGCAACCTTGCATACCATTTCAGGTGGTCCACAAACGCCCTCAGTTGAGAACACCTGGTTTAGGTCAATCAGTATATCAGCATGTCAGTTCCTTAGACACTTGCCTCATGTGGCTGACAGGGTGCCAGAGTGGATCTGGACTGGCAGGTATCAACCCTGCAGCATGGCTAGACTCCTTCTAGGTGCCCTGAAAGTGAAGATACTGAAGTTGAGACCCAGCAGGCTGCACATCCTAAGTCAGCTGGTAGGTAGGCAGAGCAAAGGAAGCTTCCATCTGGCAATGAGAATAGGGCACAGAACAGGCAGGTCTGGAGGCTCAAACTACCAGCAATCACTTCTCCAGGCTCTATGGAAACTCTGCTGCAGGGATCTAGAAGGGATTTTTTTGGTTTCCAGTTGTTAGAGCAGCATTCCCATCTCTTCTGGGGTTGAGTTACCTCTGTGGGAATTTGGGGGAGGGAGGAAGGAGACAAAGGCATTTACGCAGGTCACCACCTTGGTCACCTCCCCATGAATATTTTTGAAGTGAACAACAGTCAGCTGCCTGAATGCAAGGATGAGAGGATCTGGAAGGGGAAAAGGGATTAGGAAACAGCATATTCCTTCCCTCTTGACAGGCAGAAACGATCAGACCATATCTACATCTCTCAGATCCTCAGCTGCCTTTGCTCACAGCTAAACCTCTGAATGAAAATAGCTATGAGCCAAAATTTCAAGACTGATACTGTGTTAGCCACCGGATTCCAGCAAGTCTACCTACCACTCAGCAATTGTTTGGGAACCTTAAATACATGTATTTTTAGTAGAACGTGACAGAACCAGCTATTTATGAAAAAATTTAAAAATATTTTGTATGTAGCTAATAGAATTTTCTATTTAGTAAAAAATAATGTTATGAATGTAACTTGATCTCAGGATTTTGGAATCTTGTGAGTTTTTCCCTGTATCTTAAACACATTTTTGTCTCCACAAATGAAAATAGCTTTATTTAAAGGTTTGCTTATAAAAATAACCCACGAGGAAAGGAGTAAATTAAATAAAACTGAAAAAGAAATTAGAAAAAATTAAAACCTTTATTTCAACTACCTTCTTTCCTATGTGACTATTCACCCTGTACCTATTACGTGAAGGTTCAGAGATCAGGAGATATGAGTATCAGTGGCTGAGCGGAGAAGTAGGTTCAAGGGTTAGGTGCTCTGAGATCAAAGAAAAAGAAAAAATTCCTCATAGATGTGCTAATGGCTAGAAGATACAGCCCCTCCCTGATAAAACAGAACGCATTCCACAGGGAGAAGGGGGCCACTGTTGACCTCTGGGATTAGCAAAGACCAAAATGAGTGACAGGGTTTCAAGCGGTGAGGAGAGGAGCCAGAAAGGAGGCGAGGCACAAGGGGGCTACTGAAGGGAAGAAGTGGGCTGGCTCCTGACGCACTTTCTCCCGGTGGGAGGGGAAATAGGGACCCGAGCCCACTGGTGACGTTTCCCTCACGTGATCAGGAGCCGACGTGTGCAGAAGTCCCTCTCCTCCAGGTACCAGCTCCCTATTTCCGTGGAAGAAGATAGATTTCAGACTGAGGGACAGAGCGGGCATCTGCCCTATAGCCCGGCAGGTCGGTACAGGGTGGAGTGGGGGGCTGGGGAGAACCCCGGGGTAGGGGTGATCACGGACAGAGGCTACAGAGAATCCGGTCTGCTTTCCAGAAGCCACCCCCTCTCATCCCCACACATTTTGGCGCAGAAAATAGAGTGAGTGTTGGGGGAGAGGTCTGGGTACCACCTCTTATTTCTCTGGATAACTTCAGGGTTATCGCAGAAAGAAATGTGAGGAAAAGAAAGCATCTCCCTGCGAAGACTACAAATCCACCGCCGCCTGCGGACCTCTGAGGTGGGTGGGGGTGGCAGAGGGCAAAGACCAGAGCGGGTCCTGGACTGAATTCTCTCTGCCCCTCCCCCGAAGGCTATCGTTTGGTGCAAGAAATGGAGAGCTTGGTGGGAGGAGATGGAGAGGGGCCAAGGGTTGAGAATGGGTACCAGTTAGGATCTCCAAGGAGGCAGACTATCGGGCTACGTCTGGTGGAGGGAGAGTGCGGGGGAGGAGGATGGCAAGGAAATGGCCTGATCCCCGCAGAGCGGCTGGAGGCGGGCACAGCCTGAGATCCTGGGATGGGGTGGCAGATCCCTTAAAAGAGCCAGGCCTGCACCCTCTGTACTTCTTCTCCACCTTCCGTCCATTTTGGAGCCAGAAATGGTGGGCTGCGGGGAGGGGGTGGGGAGGGAGGTGCTGCAGAGGAGGGGGAGTGAGGTTCGGTCTGGAGATCAGCTCCCTACTGCGGAGGAGTGGCGTCTGAACTAGAGAGGGTTGAGAGGAGGCTACATGGACCAAAAATTTTACTGAGTTTGGAAATAATTTGTCCCTTGCATTGCAGAAAAATGTGTATGTGGTGAGGAAGGCGGTGGCAGGAATGTTTGGGACATTTCTGCCCTGCCCCCTGACTCTACCATCACCTTTTTCAGAGAAGTGATGGGCTTTGTGCTATCTGGGCACCCTGGGGTAGGGAGTTTGGAAGGCAGAGACCTGAGCACAGCAAGATCTGCTTTCTGAACATCGCTGTCCTGTACTTCACTTATTTTAGTACAAGAAAAAGTGAGATAGAAATTTGGGAGGAGGATTCAGAAACATAGAAACACTTTGGAAATAATCTTTCTCTGCCACTGCCCAGTGACAGAAAAATGGAAGCTGTTAAGGAGGGGCTGTAGAGGGGGATCAGAGACTCAAGGGAAAATGCAAGGGAGGTGAGGGAGGAGTTGGTAAAGCTTTGACAACTAGAATCCAAAGAGTCAGTGTCCTTGTTGCCAGTCATCCACTTCTCAGTCCCTCATTCACCATCTGTCTTCTGTCTGTCTGCAGGTCTTCGGGTCTGTGGTTGTACGCACCAACCCAGGCAAGAAGAGGAAAGACGTGCAAGCTCAGTTCAGGTCAGTAAGAGAGGACAACTGCTCCAGGACGCCTGGGAGTAGGGGTGACTTAAACCTGAGCAGAAGTTGGGGAGGACACTATCTGCCACCCCTCCTCCAAGCCTTCCTATTGCAGTATCAGAATACATGGCCTCTGTCAGGACCTTAAGGGAACATGGTGCTTTATGGCTGGTGAGGATAAGGGGGACAGAGCACGGAAGTGAGAGATGGAGGTGTGGTATCTGTGAAGCCCCTTGAGGGTATTAGAGTAGCCCTGAAATCTGAGAACTGGTCATTGTTCTGTGGTGTCTCTAGTTCTATAAGTCTTACAATTGCAGGCAAGAGAAAAAAGAAACTAGCCAGGATTCTTGCAGGTCAGTGTAAGTTGGGACTACCCAGGTAGAATTGTATGGAAATAACCAAGGGCAGAGCAAAGTTAAGGGACAAATCTGCTCTTACACACTTCTCAGCACTCTCCACTGAAATGTAAAGGAAGACAGAAGTTTTGGTTCATGCAAACTTTTAAGAAGTAGGAAGGAAAGGGAAAAAAATGTATAAATGGGAGTGTACCTGGAAGTTGGGACAGAGTGAGGCAAACTCTAAATCATAAAGGCAGATACTATCAGGTCCTATATTTCATAACCTAAGATCTCAGACTCCTTTGTCTCCTTTTTGTCTCCTAGGACAAGCGAAGGAGGGGACATCTCAACATGGAAAAACTCTACAGTGAAAATGAAGGAAAGCTGGAAAGCAAGGGAAAGACAATAGATGAAGTAGATACAGAAGATGAAGAAAAGTCAGATGAGGAGGAAAAGCCCGAAGTGGAGGGGAAGCCAGACCATGAGGGAAAGCTTCAGGACGAGGGACAGCCAGATGACGAGGGACAGCCAGATGATGCTGGGGAGCAAGAAAAGCTGGGCAAGTCTGAAGATGAGGGAAAAGCACGCAGTGAGGGCAAGCCGGAACCCCAGGCAAAGTCAGGGAGTGAGCCGAGGGCTGCCGAGAAGCGCCCGGCTGAAGATTATGTGCCTCGGAAAGCAAAACGAAAAACAGACAGGGGGACGGACGATTCCCCCAAGGACTATCAGGACGACTCACAGGACAGGCACGTGGGCAGTGAGGAGATGAGAGAATGTGGAGATGTGTCAAGGGCTCAGGAAGAGCTAAGGAAAACACAGAAAATGGGTGGTTTTCATTGGATGCAAAGAGATGTGCAGGATCCATTCGCCCCAAAGGGCCAACGGGGTGTCAGGGGAGTGAAGGGCGGAGGTAGGGGCCAGAAGGACTTAGAAGATGTACCATATGTTTAATGCCCTTGGCCTTCATTTCTGATGAGAGAGTATTGCTGACCCTGCTTTCCCTGGCAGGTATTTGCCAGGCCATGTGCTTTAACTTTAAGCTGATAGTTTGCTTTAGGTGTCACTCTTGTTGGCAGCAGCCTTTTGATCCAACTACAGCACTCTGTTTCAGTAGGGGATTTCTACCCATGTGCATGGAAGAGATGTTCATGGTACATTGTAAAATAATAATAAAAAAATCAGTTTTCAGAACCGCATATACAGCATCAGCCCATTTTTGAAAAAAAAAGAAAAGAAAAGAAAAAGTTACATAATACATCCATGCACAGGGAAAACTATGAAACTGAGTAGACCGAAAGAGAAATAATGGTTTTCTCTGTGTGGTGACAGGAGATTATTCTTTCTCTCATCTGTAAATTTTCCCCTAAAAAACACGTTACTTTTGTCATAAAATAAATAATAAAATATTTTTAAACATAGGAAAATACATACCAAGCAATCAAAATAACTGTTCAGTGAGTTTATGAAGGCAGTGGAGACACTTCAAATTCAGGTTGTCAGGATATGCAATTATGTGTAAAACTCACATTTCCTCTGGGACTTGAAGCTGGAGGAATCAACCAGGCAGTTATTATGGATCCATTGCTGTAAGGGACAGTCTTGTCATCCGTGAAATGGGGATACAACTTGCTTTCCAGGGCTGGCAATATCAGATGAGATACCGAGAGTGTGAGCTGTGTTGGGCTGGCTCCTACCTCTCCCCTGTACTAGCAGGACTGGGATCCTGTCAGATATTTGGAGGAGGGTGAGGGAGTTCTCACCTGTGCCCAGGAATAAGTCCAGAGAGCTGAGAGGTGGGTGCCATTCTCTCTTGGGTAATGCCATGTCTGATGGACACTGTGCCTCTCCTCATGGGCCCAGAACCCTCCTAAGGGCCCAATGCTCCTGATGGGCTGGAATCCTCAAGGAAACAAAGCCCCTTTGATTTCCTTGGATACTCTGGTGAGTTGAATCCCCAGTATATTCCCTACTGAACTGTGGAGAAGTTCCCTCATCTCATGTTATAGTTTTATTAATCCTGACATGAAATGTGGAAAAATGTTTTGTAAAATATTTATTAATATACTTTTCAGGCATTATAATTAGCCCACTAGACTTGCCCTTTTCAACGCAAAGAATTTATCTTAATCATTTTGGTACCCACAACACATAATAGAAGCTTAAAAAATCAATACATTAATTATCAAGTCAGAAGGCCTCAATTCTTGGCCTAGTTCTTGACCTGATTGAATACATCACCTTGAACACGTCATTTCATTCTTTAGCAACTGAAACTTGCCATTCCAAAAGGAACACAGCAGATTATACCAAAATGCATTGCTAAATGATTTTAACATTGGATATAGTAGTGTTCTTCAAAGTTTTCTAGCTACGAGCAGATTATGTGGACCCAAATCACCTGCCTATCTTGAAAAATGAAGAATACTGGCTCTCACCTCAGATCCAATATATCAGAATCTCTTTTGACCAGTCCTTATAATGTCTGTGTGTTCATTCTTTGTTTTTAATGCTTTTTAATTTTTATCAAATGGATATATGTATATAATTAAAAAATGAAACAGTGTAAAAGAATTTATTATTAAAAACTGCAATCTGTCTTGCCATTCCATGTTCCCACTCTCCACAGACAACTACCATAAGTGTTTTTGGTGACTTCTACTATTTACCTCCATACTTCTGAATAATATGCTTAGGTTGCTATTTCTTTTTTTTCTTCCTTTAAGACAGATTTATTGAAATGTAACTCACATACCACAAAATTTACCCTCAAAATTGTTCAACCTCAAACTGGAATTCAGTGGTTTTTAGTATTTTAACAGAGTTCTGAAACCATCACCATTATCTGGTTCTAGGACATTTTAATCACTCTAAAAAGAAACCCCATAACCATTAGCACATAATAGTGTTTGCATACCCTCTTCCCCGCAGCATCTGGCAAACGCTGATCTATTACTTTCTGCCTCTATGGATTTCCTTACTCCAAACATTTCATATAAAAGGCATCACACCATGTATGGCTTTTTCTGTCTGGCTTCTCTCATGTAGCATAATGTTTTCAAGTTTCATCCATATTCTGGCATGTATCAGTACTGAACATTCATGTACTTTTTTTTGCCTTTTAAAATAAACTATTGAGAAGTTAAAATATAAAATTTACAAATACAGCAGTGATGGTTCTGCCTTAATTTATTATGTAGACAAACTCAGAGCATGCTAATGATTATGTCCAAATTTGCTTTAACTTCGTTTGAATGCTTTGATTTATTTTATGAAGAGGTACTCTAAGTTTATTTGTTCTGTGTCTGGTTTAAAGAAAACACAAGTGTGTAGTATTTGACATTATAGTTAATAATTTTTGTTGGAAGAAGCAAATATAATTTTTTCAAATCTTTTTTTAAAATAAAATTGTGTTTCCAGTTTTATTGAGATATAATTGATATGTATCACTGTATAAGTTTAAAGTGTACAGCATAGTGATTATACTTACATAGTGTAAGCATAGTGATTATATTATGAAATGATTACTGCAATAAGTTTAATTCATACCCATCATCTCATACACAGCAAGAAAAAAAAAGTTTTCTCCTTGTGAGAAAACTTTACTCTCTTAGCAACATATATGTCTTTACTCTTAGGCTTTACTCTCTTAGCAACATATATGTCATACAATACTATAAACTTTTTGTGCATAAATATGAATTTAATTTTCTTGGGTCTATACCTAGGAGTGGAATTGCTGGGTCATGTGGTAACTCTATGTTTAACTTTTTGAGAAACTATAAAATTGTTTTCCAAAGCAAGGGTGGCATTTGATAATTCTATCAGTAGTGTACAAAGGTTCTAATTTCTCCACATCCTCACCAACACTTGTCATTGCCTGTAGTTTTTATTATGGCCATCTTAGTGGGTACAAAGTGGAATCCCATTATGGTTTTGATTTGCATTTTCCTAATAGCTAATGATGTTGAGCATCTCTTTATGTGCATCTTGGCTATTTGTATATCTTTATTGGAGAAATGCCTATTCAAATACTTTACCCATTTTTAAATTGGGTTGGTTTTTTTGTTGTTATTGTTGAGTTGTAAGAGCTCTTTGCTTATTCTGGACACAAGTCCCTTACCAGATGTATGACTTACAACTGCTATTTCTTGACCTGTTAACTTTAGTCACTATTTATTGACTTTCCGATATGACAACTTAGTTCTTTGTTACCATAATGATCCCCTCTACCTATTGCCTGCCCCCAAAGATTTACCACATATAACATGTATTTCAACAAGTATTCCAGTAATTCAGTTGCTTGAGTCTGAGGACCTTTGGGTGCAATTGTCTGGTTAGGCTAATCTATGATAGCTACCAGTCTCAAAACATCACTGGCTTAACACAACAAAGGTTTATTTTTCAAACTTCATGAGGGTTGGGTATGGAGAAGTTCTGTTCCTTCTAGTTCCCCAGAGATCCAGACTAATCATGATACTGCTGCAGCAAAGGAAAAGTATATATGGGGACCTCACACTAATTTTTCTACACTGTGGTCTAGAATTGACATAAATCACTGATATTCACAGTCATATTTCTAGTTCTTTTAATTATGACAAGCAATTCTGAAAGAAGTGTTATTCCACTCTCTATATAGGTGACTGAAGTGAGGCTCAAGGAATGTAAGTGATTTATGCAAGATCACATACCAGTAAGAGGAAGAACCTAGATTTGAACCTATTGGGTTGTTGGAAAAGTCATGACTTATTTTTTCTATGTGTTTCATTGCAAAAATGCGTCATGGCTTTTCCGACAACCCAAAAGGTTTATTTGGCTGTAGGTGATAATGCTTAACCAGTTTGCTTTCCTAAACCCAATGATTTTAATTTTATTTTCACCTTTTTCCCAACCAATCCTTTAGGATGTCAGAATAGTGGTAATGTTTCTTCAGATGACAGACCTAAGAGTAAGGCTCACAATGGCATTTTTTCCTCTACCATTAATGCCTTTTTAAGGCATTTCATGCCAATTCACAGCTTAACTGCTTTGGTCCCCAAATCCAGAGCTGTGCCTACAGTGAACATGGGTATTCAGATGGGTGGTAACACTTGCTTTCTCCTGAGTTAGAAGACCATATGCCTTTGCAAGTTTACTTTGCCTGGGGTCTCCTGTACTTTTGGGTCTGGGCTGACACAAACATCAGAAGCACTGCACCAGGCAGATACAGAACTGAAGTGATCACAAAATCACAAAAAAAGGCTTAGGCACAATCAAGGTCCTTCTGGGAGTATGAGCAATGTTGGTTGGAGTCATTGTCCTAACTGCATCCCCATCCTTACTGATCTTGGGGTTATTTCACTGGACTCTGAGAGAAGGATTCAACCCTTCTACTTTAAACCCAAATTATCTGGTCAAACCCAGGTTGTAGCTGGCTCTGAAAGGGAAAAATTCTTTACATTTTTATGCTGTGGAGTTTTATTTCTATCCCTACAAAAGTCTCATTTATATCCCAAAGGGAAAAAAGACAGGAAAAAAATACAAAGCTTTATGACTGACAATAAAGAGAGTTTCTGCCATTGGAAATTATTAAACGTATTACCTGTTCACAGTGAGCCAACAAACAATGGTCAGTATTACTAAGGACAGCCATATAATAAGATATTTACTTTGCTTCTCCCTCACTACCTTCTCAAATACAAGAAATGCTTTGGGGATAAGGAGAGAAATGTTCCTGAGAATAGAACCCAACTCCCTGTCCACTGCAAGTCACTAGAGCAAAAGAGATTGTGGAAACCAAGGGAACTTCAAATCAAATATTATATTTAAGTTGTAAAATGAACAAGACAATTTTTGCTTTAAGCTCTAAATAGGAGCTGAAAAGAATGCCACTCACACTTACAGCAGGGAAAAATGTTGGATAAACTGTGAAACAATAAATTTTCTTAAAACCATTGGAGAACTGAGGTCATGGGGAAATAATTACCCCAAATCTAGAGAGAGACTCACGGAGGGAGAAATAGGACCCAAGCATTTGCTTACCTGGGATTGACACCACTGAACAACATGTAGACCAGTAAGAAAATTTAGCTAGAAATTGCTAACGAATTTCTAAACAGTGAGTGAGGGCTAGCATGAGAACTGAATTCTCTGAGGGCCACAGACATAAAGGGGCTTGCACTCACTTTCAGGCTTTATTCCAGAAACTCCACTCGGTGTTACCATAGAAGATCAAAGAAAATCTGAGAAAGCTTGCCTCATAGTGCCAGCTAAGAGAGGGAGACAGCAGTCACTGTTGAAATTCCAACCAGACATATTTCCTGCAGTAAACAAAAGACTTAATTTACAGGAAGAAGGACAACAAAGCTCATATCCTGAAGGCACTTGTAGAAACCCACTGCAGCTAAGGAAAGGAAATAGAAAAACAAAAACTTTATGAGGGGATGGGGCAGGCATGTGTGCTAGGCTTAGCATTATATCTGGAGGATATGCATGAACACATGTAAAGGTTACACCACCAAAACTCAGATTCACAGTCCTCGTCTAAGATAAAGACCTGATCAGAACATCAGAGAAAATCTGTCCCTCTCTTTAACATATCATACTCTATCTACTCATCCCTTCCCCCTCAAAAACGATCTCTGAAAAGTAACCACATTTATTCCATGAATCTGTGGAGCAACTTATGCCTCAGTGCATTGTCAAAAGCAATAAAGCAGGGCCGACCGAGTGGCGCGATGGTTAAGAACTCACTTGGGATGCCAGAGGGCCCCGGTTCGGATCCCACATGTGAAGGCCGGTGACACTGCCCTCCACAGCTAAGATGCTGGGCGGCAGCTCAGCCTGGAGCTGGGTTGCCGTGGGTCGCCGGCGACGGCGTGGGCTCAGGCCCCTGTGGCAGTGGGTGGCCATGGGCTACCGTGTGTACCCAGCAGCCAGCGTGTGTAGCCAGCGGCCAGCGTGAGCGGCCAGCGGCCACGGTGAGCGGCCGTCCAGAGGCCGGCGACTGATCTGCCTCGCCCGGAAAGAGCGCAGTGATGGTGCCAACTTGGGCCAGTGGGGCAGCGTCCTCCACAACTAGACTGAAGAACAAAAAAAAAACAGCGGCTTGTCTGTTCCCCTTCCCCCAGTTCCCCAGCGCTGTTCCCATCCCCCCAATTCCCCAATAAAAATCTTAAAAAAAAAAGCAATAAAGCAATCGACCAGCTATTAGTGAAGCTTAACGGCCAAGTGTGCTCAGAGAAAGAGGCAGTAAACAGAGGACTGCCAAAACCACTGTCATCCAAGAGATACTGTGGCATATCCCATGCTGTGCCCTCTGAGGAGCAACATAAGAGGCTTCATATACCAGGGATGAAATAGACATCATTAAAATAATCCAGTTCACTAAACAAATAAGTGAGTAACAACAATAGTAAGCCCCAGAGGGAGAAGACCAGTACTCAGAGTTACTAAAATATATTATTGGAAAAAATTGCAAGAGATGCAGAGAAACAGGAATGCATGACCCATACCCAGAGAACAACGCAGGCAACAGAAAATGCCTATGAAAGTGACCAGATGTTGAATTTAACAGAGACTTCAAAGTAGCCAATATAAATATGTTAAAATAAAAATATAGCAGAAGTTACAGTCAAGATGGTGGAGTAGGTAAATGCTGGATTTGCCTCCTCTCACAACCACATCAAAATTATAACTAAGCTACATAGCAACTATCATTGAGAATCACCTGAAGTCTAGCTGAACAGAAGTCCTATAACTAAAGATATACAGAAGAAGCCATGTCAAAATGGGTAGGAGGGGCTGAGATGCATAACAGGCTGGTCCCACACCCACATGTGACAATTAAAAATTGGGAGGGATATCGGCTGCAGCGGTTCTCCCTGAGGAATTAATGATTCCAGCCCCACACCACACTCCCCAGCCCAGGACTCCTGAGAAGTTCCCACAAATTCTGGCTTTGGAAACCAGCAGAAATTGTGGCTGAGTGAGACAGAGGGTGGCTGGGGTCCCAGGCATCTTCTTAAATGGCCCATACATGAACTTACTCTCTGATGGACTCACTCTCTCTGAGCTCCAGCACTGGGGCAGGAGTTTGAAAGATGCCAAGGACATACAGGAAAGAACAGAATTATCTGGCTCCAGGGTGAAGACTGGAGGGACAGTTTTCTTCCAGACAGAAGTGCTGGCAGAGGCCATTGTTTAAGGGGCCAATAGGACAACATCAGGCATACCAACATTCACATAATAAGGGTACCAGTAGGAGAAGAGAGAGAGAGAGAGAGCAAGGAACTGAAAACCTATTTGAAGAGATAACGATGGAAAACTTCCCTAACCTGGCAAAGGAAGTAGACATACAAATCCAGGGAGCACAGAGAGTCCCAAAC